CCATAGTATGTACTGAAGTCACGTCCTCTTAATCTAGACAATAGACTTGCTCAATTTATAAAAAAGATTTAAGCATAAATCACGGTACATAGAATCAATTTTAGCGAATTAATTACTGATGGTCTCAATTTATCCTAAACGTAGGTAGGATTTTTAGTATGACGATGCGTCATCACGATATTGATATTATGTACCTAGTTGAATAACAGTTTTGGTAGCAGTTATTTACATGTGAGGTAATTTTAGTTCGTAAAAAATGTTCGTTTGTATTTCGCTTTTTGTTTTCGAATGATATTTTTCAAGTAAAATATTAGTGATATTTAAAAGGATAGTAAATAGCTTTTGGTATGTAAAGGTTAGTATTATAATATTTTTCTAGAATGGTCGATACAAAAAGAAAGGTATAATAGAATAATTCTGCTTTCTCATGTTGAGTGCAACTTTTTAATGCAATTAAAAGTTTCAATTACTGATCTTACTAATTGAGGTTTTTTTACGCTGTCTTGATTGTTAAACCTAGATATTGTAAGATTCTCAGCACTAATTAAGCAAACCAATATTTAATTGTTGTGGTATATTGTATAGTGTAGCTGTATAAATATAGTAATCAGTTTACTAGCATAGTTTTATCATAGTTAATTTTAAATTGCCATATTTGTATGGTTGTGGAGAGTGTGAAGTCCTTTCCTATCGCACAATATCTTTTTAAATATACTCATAGTAATAAAGGAGATTAGTTTTATTACATTTTTACATCGAGAGGTATATCGATGCCATGAGGAAGGTTATGTTAAAGTAATTGATAGAGCATTTAATAAAGAAGTAATAAGTTACAATTACGTCTGTTAGTATCCTAAAAATTTTCTAACTGCATTTTTAACTTTTATTTTTGAATACAACATGTTCTAGGTTAGTTTTAACATCATCAACCCGCGGTAACATCACGGTATTGACACTGCAGAACTTGGGACTACTTACTTATAAGTAGGAAAGCTTTGTTGTAATGGCCACTTGGCACATGGGCACACGGATTGATGACCATGTTCCCTGGAGTCTGGAGTGTTTAGTTGATGTTGATGACCATGTTCCCTGGAGTCTGGAGTGTTTAGTTGATGTTTTGGGACTTCGACATTGACGATTTTATTTTGTCGGGAGGAAATGGGATGATGAGTTCTGTTATGCTGCCACCACACGGGTTTTGGTTATTGAGTTAAGTTACTTATCTTATTTTGATTTTGTAATTTTTTTTTAATTTCATAATACTCTATTTTAAAAATCAAGTAACCTTAAATAAACACACTAGAGTGCCGCTCAAAGAAAAAAACTGCCATTTTTTTAAAAGTATTTTACTTTTTTCTAGTTTTTTCTTTTGACTGTACATCAGTTAGAATATCGCTTATTCTTTTATAACTTTTAAAAATTATATATTATGTTTATTTTTGTGATAAAATTTAATATAAAATAGTTACGTCCACAACGGAAGTGCATTATTTCTAACGTTACGAGCGTAACTTCACATGATTGCAATGCAAAAAGAAACATTCTTGGAACTTTGAGATATTTCACTGACATGCCCTGTAAATAATATGTGTATACATTCAATAGTTTTCGAGCTAATTTTCTTAAATTAAATTAATTTTAAAATTAAATATGCAAACATAAAAATAAAGTTGATAAAAATTCAAATATTACACACAGATTACAATTATGTTTGTGTGTTTATCGGCATAAACAAGGAGATCATGGTGTGATTGTTTCATAATATGTCTAAATTTAAATGTAACCTATTTCTGAAAAAGCAAAGAAAAATCAATTAGCTTAGAAATCCAGATGATTTCGGGCTATGTTTAGCAATTTTATGACGTGATCAGATTAAGGCTAAAAATAAACTATCGAAAACCCCCAATAAGCTCTGATGTTACTCTGTGTAAGTCAATATAGCGGCTATTGCTAAAAGACAATAAGCAAGAATATCATAAATATTTTTTTCTGACACAGACGCGGTTTATAAATAAATAAATAATTGATTTCTAACATAATATTAAATTAAAGCATAATGATTTACTTAATATTTCTATATGTACTTACCTGAATTGAATGTAATTACTGAATTTATTAATAAAAAGCATATTACAAATATTATAAATTAAAATAGTACGTGCTGGTTTGTTGATCTAATCAACTTTCCTTTATTATTAAGAATTTTCCTCATTGTAGTAAAATGATTTCTAAACTTCGCGATAGTATAATTCGCTAGGGTAATTAAATGGAAGGATTATATACAACAATAAAGTAACGTCAACATAATACATTCTTCATTTCTAAGAGACGTACAGTACAGTACGTTTTTACTGTACATATGATATAATTTGTGCCTTAATAATGATCAATGACGATTGTTTTATTATTATTAGGTCATTTGAAGTCATATAAATTATATAACAAAAATTCTAAAAACACATGATGCATTATGTGTTTGGTAACAGTTTCTATACAATAGTCTTAGTATTACTATAAATTACGATTAAATTAAATTAAGAACAATTAAATTATTGAAACCTTTAAGGCACTATCCAGTATCTTACACTTAACTAACACTGCAATATGAATTCATATGTAGTATTATACACATATAGTTCTTAGTTTGTTATTTCAATAAATTAAATTTTTCATTGCAATCATTTTCCACAACTCGATTGCTATAGAATAGTAAATTAAAAATTGAACTGGTGTAATTATTATAACCTGAAAAATTTGTATCTTCATGTTAAATTGCATTTACAAGTTACGAAGAAAGGTGCACCGCAAGGTTAGACCTTATAGATTTACAGATATATTCACTACCTTCGACTTATAATAAATATATTATAATTCTCTAAATTGTATGTTATTTAATAAGAAAAGCTTAATTACTGCATTATTATGTTATAACGATTAATTCAAATGGTCTTCCTATGTCGCTATATTTATATTGCACTTATATTTATAAAAGTTATTGATTGTTAATATTGCCATTTTAGTTTTAAGCCTTTTTAAACATATTGCTTCCAAGTACAGGTGATACGTTCAAAATATTCGCCGATACTTGGTTTTAAGTGATATGCGATATAATTTCTATTTGGAAGTGATGTCTAATGTTACGTTTATTTTTAATCATTAGCTCCTAATGTTAATGTAATTCGGGAATATTCTAAAGAACGGTCGCGGAGCAGGATTTTTTTTATTGCTTGGCATTTTTGAACTTAATTCCCTTCATAAAAAGTTTTATTTCTATTGCAACTAAGATAGTTTTAGGACCTTTTGAACAGTATTTGTGATTCGAAAACCGAGTTTATTCTGAAGTTATTAAAGTTCAGATTTGAATGAATTGCAATAATTTAAAATTCTTCCTGCTCCGCGATCACGCCATAGTAGGATAATTTTACAATGTCTACTACTAAACCGGTGGCGTCGTTTTAAAGGATAAAGAAAAGAAAGTATAAACATCTCAGAGTCTGGAATAGATATTCGTATTTCTGAAAAGGTCTTGGTAGAGCAAGTAACTGTTCGGCGCTGCTCTACTTTTCCTGTTCTTGATTTTTTTTTATTTCTTAGACATGCCGGTTTAGCATTGTTTTCAATCACTGCCCACCACGTGGTAAATGTTTGTGAAAGTAAATTGATTTTTACATAATTATTGGAAATGTTCTACAACTACAACTATTTTTGCATGGCATATATATTGAATCATTTGTACTTAACTTTTTGCAACGAGTCATTAGTATGTATGAAGTAATTCTTTTAAATGTTATTTTAAAAGAGCAAATATTTATGTATTATAATTGAAAATGTAATTTTTTTAAATATTTTTATACTTTTCTGCACCAATACCTTTTAAACGTAATACAAGCTAATTTAGCAGTTTAATTTTATAATTTTTACTAAAAACAATATTAACTAAATAAACCTAAATGATTCGCAAATCATTATTATATATTATTTACCATGAATGCATTTTAAATTATTTTAATGACGTTGTTAAGGTTATTAGAGTGGAATAATTTTTGGAAATGTATTTCGAAATCTTGCAGAAAATAACTTTCTTAATATGTAAAGAGATTCTAGTGTAAATCAAGTGCCTTATTGCAGCTGATCTGTGATGACGCCTTTAGTAATTTGAAAGATGTTGTGTCCTTTTAGGTATACTTAATTATATATTTTAAATTGTTTTCATTTATATGAATGTGCCTTTTATTACAAAATACTAGAGTCGCCTACTAGTCTACATCTTAGAGCTATGTTATCATCGTATGTGTATATCTCAGATTTTTTTGTAGATAAATAAATATCTGTTAGTATTGAGTTATTTGTTTTATTAATATTTAATGTTTTCATAACACAACTCTGCCTATATGTCAGGGGTCCGGCACAGAATAAATATTATGTAACAAACTGACTTAGTACCTCTGCATAAAACGCAGATACACCCTTAATTCTGACGCATACTTAAATTATAACATTATTTTTCCTTACAATATAAAAGCGTTACGATTTACCTTATATTCTATTTAAAACATCACACGTTCGCTGCTGTAGAGAAGCCTCTATAGACTGACACATATATACACTCTTATCTATGGACTGACACAAAAAGGACGGTCCTGAGTATCTGGTATGAGTCGACTCCGAGCATATTTCATAACTTCCTCACTTCCATCTAGTGGGCGGAGTAACGCCTTCTGCATTTGAGCCCAGAACAGGCCGTCAGCGAGTCCAGTCGGCTCAGATAACGCGAGAGACTGACCTGAATAAACCCAATCGCAGAAACGACTTCAGGAATAATTTCGATCGGCATACCATCCTAAGTGTTTTTGTCTTATGGATTGGTAATTTCCGACCTATAATAATCCTTGACGGTGTCCGGTCCATCACCACAAAATCAAGTTTATTCTCAGGAATAGTCCTGTCTTTTTTATAGGTGAGGGGGCAAACGAGCATGCGGCTCATCTGATGGTAAGTGA